TTTATATAGGCACTTTGTTTAATCAAAAAATTAAGTGCTATCTTTAACTCGTGAGGTCTAACAGTTTTATACAAGTCTTTGTTATCTAATCGTGAAGGATCACTTATTCGTCTTTTTAATTGTACTCTTATAATGTGCAATTCATCGTCAATTCTTGGCAATAATGGAAGCATTGAATTTGGATCTACTGGAACGTTTACAACGTTTCCTTTCATTTTATACTGACCACCTCTTGGTAAATGTAATATTGTTTCGAATATTATTCGTGCGGACACCATCCTTTCTTCTAAGTCATTAAGACTATTAAGACATTCTGGTATTTCTGGAAACATCAATCCATGAGATAAAGATAATCGAGGAATTTTTGCTTTTAATATGTCTTGATAACAGGTATTGCAAAATTGACAATTTTCTTTTAAATTAAAGAAATCGATTTGTGTTTTCTCATTGTCATTCAATTTTATGAAATTAATAATGTTAATAGGACGAATTTGAGTTTTAAACCATAAACATCCACAACAAGAACAGATTTCTGTCGGACCATATAACTTTGCTTCTTCAAATTTTTTGATATTTGAATGATTTTGTTTTATTTCTTTAATTTGTTTTTTAACATCTTTTTCACGATCACGTGTCTCTTTATCTTTAAAACGTTTATCAGCCATTCTTTGTTTATTGGCTTCTCTTTCACGATCACGTGTTTCTTTATCTTTTAGACGTTTTTCAGCCATCCTTAATTTATTTGCTTCTTTTTCACGATCACGTCTTTCTTTATCTTTAAGACGTTTTTCAGCCATCCTTACTTTATTTGCTTCTTTTTCACGATCACGTGATTTTTTATCTTTAAGACGTTTTTCAGCAATTCTTTTTTTATCTGCCGAATTTTTTCGCTTTTTTTTAACGACATCTTCGTTTCCTGAATCAGACATGATTTTTTATCTAAAAAATATTTATTTGAAATTAATTGTTTTAATGTGACCAAATATTTAATGTTGACGCAATTAATAATTTAGCACAAAAAACAAAAATTAAATATTTATTTAAATATTATTTTATTAGCACTAATTCACTGTAATTATAAAATTAATTAGACTTACATGTTGTCTCTTCGATGTCTCGACTCGAACTGAAAATTGAAATTAATTTTTCTCTATTTATAGTGATATTAAATGTTGACGCAATATTTAACGTTGACCCAATATTTAATGTTGACCAAATATTTAATGTTGACGTAATTAATTATTTAACAAACAAAACAAAAATTAAATATTTAAATATTATTATATTAGCACTTATTCACTGTAATTATAAAATAAATTAGACTTACATGTTGTCTCTTCGGTGTCTCGACTCGAACTGAAAATTGAAATTAATTTTTGCCTCTATTTATAGTGATATTAAATGTTGACGCAATATTTAACGTTGACCCAATATTTAATGTTGACGTAATTAATTATTTAACACAAAACAAAAATTAAATATTTATTTAAATATTATTATATTAGCACTTATTCACTGTAATTATAAAATAAATTAGACTTACATGTTGTCTCTTCGGTGTCTCGACTCGAACTGAAAATTGAAATTAATTTTTGTCTATTTATAGTGATATTAAATGTTGACGCAATATTTAATGTTGACGTAATATTAATGTTGACGTAATTAATTATTTAACACAAAACAAAAATTAAATATTCATTTAAATATTATTATATTAGCACTTATTCACTGTAATTATAAAATAAATTAGACTTACATGTTGTCTCTTCGATGTCTCGACTCGAACTGAAAATTGAAATTAATTTTTGTCTCTATTTATAGTGATATTAAATGTTGACGCAATATTTAACGTTGACCCAATATTTAATGTTGACCAAATATTTAATGTTGACGTAATTAATTATTTAACACAAAACAAAAATTAAATATTTATTTAAATATTATTATATTAGCACTTATTCACTGTAATTATAAAATAAATTAGACTTACATGTTGACTCAATAATTATTTATATAATATAAATGTTGACTCAATAATTATTTATATAATATAAATGTTGACAATAATTATTTATATAATATAAATATTACTCAATAATTATTTATATATTATAAATGTTGACTCAATAATTATTTATATAATATAAATGTTGACTCAATAATTTATATAATATAAATGTTGACTCAATAATTATTTATATAATATAAATGTTGACTCAATAATTATTTATATAATATAAATGTTGACTCAATAATTATTTATATATTATAAATGTTGACTCAATAATTATTTATATAATATAAATGTTGACTCAATAATTTATATAATATAAAATGTTGACTCAATAATTATTTATATATATAAATGTTGACTCAATAATTATTTATATAATATAAATGTTGACTCAATAATTATTTATATAATATAAATGTTAATTATTTATATATTATAAATGTTGACTCAATAATTATTTATATAATATAAATGTTCTCAATCAAGTATTTATATAATATAAATGTTGACTATTTATATAATATAAATGTTGACTCAATAATTATTTATATATTATAAATGTTGACTCAATAATTATTTATATATTATAAATGTTGACTCAATAATTATTTATATAATATAAATATTGACTCAATAATTATTTATATAATATAAATATTGACTCAATAATTATTTATATATTATAAATGTTGACTCAATAATTATTTATATAATATAAATGTTGACTCAATAATTATTTATATAATATAAATGTTGACTCAATAATTATTTATATAATATAAATGTTGACTCAATAATTATTTATATAATATAAATATTGACTCAATAATTATTTATATATTATAAATATTGACTCAATAATTATTTATATATTATAAATATTGACTCAATAATTATTTATATAATATAAATATTGACTCAATAATTATTTATATAATATAAATATTAACTCAATAATTATTTATATATTATAAATATTGACTCAATAATTATTTATATATTATAAATATTGACTCAATAATTATTTATATATTATAAATATTGACTCAATAATTATTTATATATTATAAATATTGACTCAATAATTATTTATATATTATAAATATTGACTCAATAATTATTTATATAATATAAATATTGACTCAATAATTATTTATATATTATAAATATTGACTCAATAATTATTTATATAATATAAATGTTGACTCAATAATTTATATAATATAAATGTTGACTCAATAATTATATAATATAAATATTGACTCAATAAATATTTATATAATATAAATATTGACTCAATAATTATTTATATATTATAAATATTGACTCAATAATTATTTATATAATATAAATATTGACTCAATAATTATTTATATATTATAAATATTGACTCAATAATTATTTATATATTATAAATATTGACTCAATAATTATTTATATATTATAAATATTGACTCAATAATTATTATATATAATATAAATATTGACTCAATAATTATTTATATATTATAAATATTGACTCAATAATTATTTATATAATATAAATGTTGACTCAATAATTTATATAATATAAATATTGACTCAATAAATATTTATATAATATAAATATTGACTCAATAATTATTTATATATTATAAATATTGACTCAATAATTATTTATATATTATAAATATTGACTCAATAATTATTTATATAATATAAATATTGACTCAATAATTATTTATATATTATAAATATTGACTCAATAATTATTTATATAATATAAATGTTGACTCAATAATTTATATAATATAAATATTGACTCAATAAATATTTATAAAATATAAATATTGACTCAATAATTATTTATATATTATAAATATTGACTCAATAATTATTTATATAATATAAATATTGACTCAATAATTATTTATATATTATAAATATTGACTCAATAATTATTTATATATTATAAATATTAAGTATAACAAAATGAACAGGTAAAATCATACTTTTGCCGCCATTATTATTAAAATAAAATAATAATTTTGATCTATTATATCTTATTTTTGATGCTCTTCTTTGATAGAATTCTAAACGTTAAAATTTTTACCTAAAATTTTTTACTTTGGCCGCCATTTTCTCTATGTTCCCGAAGAGATATCAAAATTTTAATGCATATTTTTATGCTTACTTTTGATGCTCTATTCAAATCTATACTTAAAAAAATTTTCTTAAAATTTTCTTTACTTTGGTCGCCATTTTGTCTATGTTCCCGAAGAGATATCAAAATTTTAATGCAACTTTTCAATACATTATTAGTAGTCCTCTAACCGAATCTGAAGTCAGAATTTCAAAATTCGCAAAAAAAATGCTACACACACACACACACACACACAAAAAAGGCTCGTATAGATTTCAGAAAACAAAACTTTTCAAGTTTTTTTTGAATATTAGTTAATAATTTTAATTTTGTTTTTGTTAGACTATTGTTTTTAAATTTTTTTTCCAATTGTGTAATCAAATTTGTAATCAAATAATATTTTTTTACTAATAAGTTATATATTTAAAAAAAAGTTTTAATATAATTTAATATTATATAAGTTATATAAATACTTTAAATTAATTTTAAATATTATAATTTTTGTTAAATTGTTAAATTAATATGTTATAAATTAGTTATAAAACTTTTTTTTAATTTAAATATTAAAACATTATAAAAAAATATCTAAATATATAATTATATAGAAAACTCAATTAAATTAATGTAAATAAAATTATTGTTTTATTTAAACTTAATTTATTTAATTTATTAAAAAAAAATAACAAATAAAACAACAAAAACAAAATTAAAAAAAACTTATTTTTTTTAAATTTTTTTATCAACAAAAAAATTATCAAAAAATAATTAATTTAAATACAACAACAAAATTGTTTTGTTTTTAATTTTCTAACTAAAAATCAGTGAATTTTAAAAATTTAATTTTTTAAAAGTTTTTATTAAGTTTTAAGTTTCATCAGTAGTACTGGTGGTTAGGTCGACATCATTGGTAACGGTATCAGTGATACTGTCATCAGTGGTGACGGTAGCCTTAGTAGTGACACCACCGCCACCAAAAACACCGGTAATGGCCCGCAAAACACTGGCCGCGGCCATCCATAGAAACCGGATGACTGGCCAAACTAGTTGACTGACCACTGATTTCAATAGGTCTATACCAAGGCCTGGCAGTCCCAGTGCACCCATCAATGGCTCAAGTAGTTCATTGACCACATCATAGATTAGGTCAAACGGATTGAAATATGTTAACTGATTGCTGGCTACCGGTGCTGATATCATTGCTGTCCGTTTTATAATTATATCATTGACATCATCAGCATCTATATGAGCCGTATCTAAGCTAACTGGGTGTGTGTGTGGGATGTGGGTGCGCCCAGATATATATATACAAAAAAAATATTTTTAATAATTAATAATACAATTTAATTAATATGAAATAATTTATTTTAATATTATTATATTAGTTTTAATTATTATTATTATATTAGTTTTAATTATTATTATTATATTAGTTTTAATTATTATTATTATATTAGTTTTAATTATTATTATTATATTAGTTTTAATTATTATTATTATATTAGTTTTAATTATTATTATTATATTAGTTTTAATTTTTATTATTATATTAGTTTTAATTATTATTATTATATTAGTTTTAATTATTATTATTATATTAGTTTTAATTATTATTATTATATTAGTTTTAATTATTATTATTATATTAGTTTTAATTATTATTATTATATTAGTTTTAATTATTATTATTATATTAGTTTTAATTATTATTATTATATTAGTTTTAATTATATAACTATAATTACCGATTAAAATCAATAGCGAGATAATAGTTATGATAATAATGTTGTTGTTAGCCATCATTGGGTGTTTAGTTAAACTATTTTACTGTATATACTATAGTTATTGTACTAGAAATAGAAATTAGCTAGGTATAATTTTAAAAAATAAAGTAATTTTACTTATAATGCTACAGTTGTTTAAAAAAAATAATAATAAAATTAATATTCAACTAAATATTAATTTTTAGTTTAAACTTATAAAATTGTTTTTTATATACTATTATTGATTTTAATTAGAAAATATATTTTTGTTGTTATAATTATTTGCGTACATTTACAATGATGTTGAAAATAATAATAATAATAATAATAAATATTATTTAATTAAATCATGAATGGCTAAAAATTTAGTTATTATTTTTTTGGTGTTTTAATAATTTATAAAATTTCTAATATCAATAACTGTTTTTTTTGTTATTGTTATTGCTAGACTAAATTTTTTACAATAAAATTTAAGTAATAATTAATAATATACAGATAAATAAATTACATAGATAAATTAATTACATAGATAAATTAATTACATAGATAAATTAATTACATAGATAAATTAATTACATAGATAAATAAATTATATAGTGTAAAATTATTGTGGTTAACATTTTTTTTAAAAAAAATTAATTAATTTAATTTACTGTTGTTTGTTTTTAATTAAACTATTAATTATTATTTTTGACAAAAATAAAATAAACATATTAAACAAAATTTAAAAAAAAAACAATCAATATTTAAATAGAAAAACAAAAAAAAATGTATTTTTAGATTCAATTCAATTAAGTGTTTATTTGTTTTTTGCAATTAAACTTATTAATTATTATTATTTAAAAAAAAATTTTTTTATCAATAATTTAAAAAAAAAATTTAAATCTTTAAATTGTTTATAAAGTTCATGATAACAATTGCAACCGGTACAAATAATATTGCTATTGGTAAGGTTAGTAAGCCTAAAAACGGTACAAACAATGTGAAAAAAATTAATATAATAGTTGGTAATCCTATTATTGTGGATATCTGTTGTTTCAGCCAATCACCCAATGCTGACATCGATTCCGGCTCCAGTAGGTTGTTTGGTATCGACCGTTTGGCAACATTAGCATTGTTGGGGTTGTTGTTGTGTTCAACAGCACCGGCAGCAGCAGCGTCTACCCAGTTGTTTAGGCTAACAGTGCTCAAACCTATATTTACATATATATATATATATATTATCTATTTATATATATTATCTACCTATATATATATTCTATCTATCTATATTATCTATCTATTTATATTTAGTAAAATATTATTTATTTATTTTTTATAAATAATATTTGTGTATCTATTATTACATTATAATAATATATAATAATTAGTATTATAGAAAAAAAAATCTAATTTTTAAATTTATAATTACCGATTAAAACTAAAATAGTTAATAATAAAGTTGTATTGATTTTGTAGGCCATGGTTAGGTACTGTAAAAAACATTTTTAGAAATTATATATATATATATATATATTATTGGCTAATAATTAAAAAAAAGTTAAAAAATAAACTATATAAGTAAAATAATATATTGGAAAAAAATAAAATAATTACTTACTTTGTTAATGTATTACTTTTATTTTGTAAATAACTTGAATTAAATTAAATTTTTAACATCATTTATATATATGTAAAAATTTTTGCTATACTTATTTTTTTTTATATAAAAACATGTTTGATTTTTATTATATAATTTACGAAATATTAATTTGTTATTTTTTTGTTGAAAATAATAATAATAATTTTTCCTAGAATCTATTTATTATACATTTTCTATATACTGTATATACAGTTATATTAAAATTATGAAATTATTAATTATTGATCAATTAATTTTTATGTATTAATGTTTAATTGTTTTTATTTTTGAAAATTTTAAACACTAGTCATTTTAATTGTAATTTTAATATTTTTTAAAATATAGAAAAAAATTTATTACTAAATATATTTGTGTGTGGGAGGGGGTTTAAAAAATTAATTATTATTTTATTATTACCTATTAATCCAAAAATATTAGTTAATAAATTAAAAGTTTTGACAATTTTATAAACATATTAAACAAACAAAATTAAAAAACAAAAATTGTTTTTTAAATTAAATTCAATAAAATTTAGTGTTTATGTGTTTTTTTAATTTAAAAAAATTATTCATTAGTTTTAAAATATAAATATATTAAACAAACAAAATTAAAAAAAAATCAATAAATTTTTAAATAAAAAAAACAAATAATTTTTAAATTCAATTCAATTCAATTTACTATTGATTTATTTTTAATTAAACTTAAATAACTTAAACTTTAATAAATTATTTTTTAAAATTATTTTTTTTTGATAATTTTAAAAATTAAAAAAATAAATCATTTAAATTTGTAAATTGTTTAGAAAGTTCATAATAACCCATGCAAACGGTAACAATAGTATTAGTATAGGGAAAGTTAGTATGCCTACAAACGGCACCAACATTGATAAAAATAATAGACCTATAGGTAATACAATTGGTATTGATAGCAGTTTTTTCAACAAATCACCCAATGATGACATCGATTCGGGCACCTGTAGGTTGTTTGGTATCGACCGTTTGGCAACATTAGCATTGTTGTTGTTGTTGTGTTCAGCACCGGCAGCACCGGCAGCAGCAGCGTCTACCCAGTTGTTTAGGCTAACAGTGCTCAAACCTATATTTACATATATATATATATTATCTATCTATATATATTATCTATTTATATATATTATCTACCTATATATATATTCTATCTATCTATATTATCTATCTATTTATATTTAGTAAAATATTATTTATTTATTTTTTATAAATAATATTTGTGTATCTATTATTACATTATAATAATATATAATAATTAGTATTATAGAAAAAAAAATCTAATTTTTAAATTTATAATTACCGATTAAAACTAAAATAGTTAATAATAAAGTTGTATTGATTTTGTAGGCCATGGTTAGGTACTGTAAAAAACATTTTTAGAAAATTATATATATATATATATATATATATATATTATTGGCTAATAATTAAAAAAAAGTTAAAAAATAAACTATATAAGTAAAATAATATATTGGAAATAAATAAAATAATTACTTAATTTTGTTAATGTATTACTTTTATTTTGTAAATAACTTGAATTAAATTAAATTTTTAACATCATTTATATATATGTAAAAATTTTTGCTATACTTATTTTTTTTTATATAAAAACATGTTTGATTTTTATTATATAATTTACGAAATATTAATTTGTTATTTTTTTGTTGAAAATAATAATAATAATTTTTCCTAGAATCTATTTATTATACATTTTCTATATACTGTATATACAGTTATATTAAAATTATGAAATTATTAATTATTGATCAATTAATTTTTATGTATTAATGTTTAATTGTTTTTATTTTTGAAAATTTTAAACACTAGTCATTTTAATTGTAATTTTAATATTTTTTAAAATATAGAAAAAAATTTATTACTAAATATATTTGTGTGTGGGAGGGGGTTTAAAAAATTAATTATTATTTTATTATTACCTATTAATCCAAAAATATTAGTTAATAAATTAAAAGTTTTGACAATTTTATAAACATATTAAACAAACAAAATTAAAAAACAAAAATTGTTTTTTAAATTAAATTCAATAAAATTTAGTGTTTATGTGTTTTTTTAATTTAAAAAAATTATTCATTAGTTTTAAAATATAAATATATTAAACAAACAAAATTAAAAAAAAATCAATAAATTTTTAAATAAAAAAAACAAATAATTTTTAAATTCAATTCAATTCAATTTACTATTGATTTATTTTTAATTAAACTTAAATAACTTAAACTTTAATAAATTATTTTTTTAAAATTATTTTTTTTTGATAATTTTAAAAATTAAAAAAATAAATCATTTAAATTTGTAAATTGTTTAGAAAGTTCATAATAACCCATGCAAACGGTAACAATAGTATTAGTATAGGGAAAGTTAGTATGCCTACAAACGGCACCAACATTGATAAAAATAATAGACCTATAGGTAATACAATTGGTATTGATAGCAGTTTTTTCAACAAATCACCCAATGATGACATCGATTCGGGCACCTGTAGGTTGTTTGGTATCGACCGTTTGGCAACATTAGCATTGTTGTTGTTGTTGTGTTCAGCACCGGCAGCACCGGCAGCAGCAGCGTCTACCCAGTTGTTTAGGCTAACAGTGCTCAAACCTATATTTACATATATATATATATTATCTATCTATATATATTATCTATTTATATATATTATCTACCTATATATATATTCTATCTATCTATATTATCTATCTATTTATATTTAGTAAAATATTATTTATTTATTTTTTATAAATAATATTTGTGTATCTATTATTACATTATAATAATATATAATAATTAGTATTATAGAAAAAAAAATCTAATTTTTAAATTTATAATTACCGATTAAAACTAAAATAGTTAATAATAAAGTTGTATTGATTTTGTAGGCCATGGTTAGGTACTGTAAAAAACATTTTTAGAAAATTATATATATATATATATATATATATATTATTGGCTAATAATTAAAAAAAAGTTAAAAAATAAACTATATAAGTAAAATAATATATTGGAAATAAATAAAATAATTACTTAATTTTGTTAATGTATTACTTTTATTTTGTAAATAACTTGAATTAAATTAAATTTTTAACATCATTTATATATATGTAAAAATTTTTGCTATACTTATTTTTTTTTATATAAAAACATAAGTTTGATTTTTATTATATAATTTACGAAATATTAATTTGTTATTTTTTTGTTGAAAATAATAATAATAATTTTTCCTAGAATCTATTTATTATACATTTTCTATATACTGTATATACAGTTATATTAAAATTATGAAATTATTAATTATTGATCAATTAATTTTTATTTATTAATGTTTAATTGTTTTTATTTTTGAAAAATTTTTACACTAGTCATTTTAATTGTAATTTTAATTTTTTTTATTAAATATTGAGAAAAATAAGTATTACTAAATCTGTTTGTGTTTATATGGGGGGGGGGTATTAAAAAAAATTAATTATTTTATTATTATTATAATATAATACTTAATAAATAATATTTACCTTAATTTAATGAATATATTATACTAAATTATATTAAATACGAAAATTTAAATAAATAAAATATTTATTAGTAATTTATATTTGTTAATGTATTAATATTACACTAATATATTTATACTGAAACTAATTTTTTTTTATAATTAAAATTAAACTAAATATTTTATATATAGAGGGGGGGAAGCAAATTATGTTTAACCTATATATTATAGTTTTATGCTAAAAAAAACAGTTTACAAATATTTAACTAATATATCTATCTCACTTTAATATATATAACACATATATATTAGTATATATATATATTAGACTTAATATTATATAAACTAATATAATTTAAAATCAAATCAATTATTGAAAAAAAAATAAATAACAACAACAAAAATAAACAAAAATATTCAAATAATAATTAAATTAGTATTAACTAATAGACAAAAAAAAATAATTACATAAAAAATTTATTTTTTTTCAAAAATAAAACTAGAAAAAAAGCTATTTAATTAATTAGAATATAATTATTTTATTTTACTAATTAATTAATTCATATTACATATACAGTATAATAATTACATATTAATATATATATATATATAAATAATAAATTTTTTTCAACAAAATATTTTTAAATTTTATTAATTGTTTTTTTTCCAAACAAACAAAAAATAATTCAATTTATTTTAATTGTCTGTAAAGAAATCCAATAAACTTAAACAATAGTTTCATTAGGGGATCAGCTATTAGTCCGATTACGGGTATATGGGACAGTCGTATTAGTAAGGGTATAATATATGCATAGGATACTGATACTACCAGGCCAGTCAATAATTGTAAAAATTTTTGTTCATTGGTATCGGCTATATCTGGACGGGTAGTAGTAGTGGGTGTCGACATCATTGTTGTTGGTGTTGGTGTTACCGATTGTTTGGTAACACCATCATCACTATCATCAGCAGCAGCAGCAGCTAAAAAGCTAACTGTGCTCAAACCTACATGTTTAATAACACATACATATATATATATATATATAGAGTATAAATAATAGTTTTATAATAATAATAATTATTAATTAATTAATTAATTTATCTATTTAATATAATTACTATTTATTATCTATTTAATTTATTTGTTTATTTTATTTAATTTAATAATATTAATAATTAAATTAAATTAAATAATTAATTAACTAAATAGATAAATTAATTTAATTAAGATAATTAAATTAAATACAAGATAAATAGAAAATATATTGTGTAAAAATGTAAAAATATAGTCAACTATTAATTTTAATTTAATATAATTAAAGGTTATTATTATTACCTATTAAACCAATAATAGTTAATAAGTTAACTGTTTTGATAATTTTGTAGGCCATGGTGTATATGTGTACGGGTAATTTGAACAAGTCACTTATAATTGTTTTTTAATAAAAAAAAAATTAAAAAATATATTGTTGCAAAATATTACTATGAAATTAAGTACTTATAAAATATAATTTGAAAAAATAAAATTAATTTTTTTTAATTGCTAACTTGATTTAATTAAGTTAAATTAAAATTTAATTTTTAYTTATTATTATTATTATTATTATTACTGTTATAAGTTATATAGGATTATAATTATGATTAGTTTATGAAAATTAATTAGTTTCAAAAWAATAATAATAATTTTGCCTAAAAATCTATTACACAATTAATTTTAAAGTTTGTATAATATATAAATAAATTACAGTTATATTATAAAAATTATGTAATATTATTATAAATTAATTACTAATAGTTAGGSTACTATTGCTAAATGTTGTTTTTCTAGATAATTTTTGAACTAGTCACTTTATTACAACAAAAAATAAAATAAAAAAATAAACTAAAAATCATATGATTACAAAAASAATAATTAAATTAAATTTTTAATTAATAATCTATGTAKAAATTAACTTAATATATATATATATAGGTACTAATTGATTGAAATATCAATTTAAATTATTGCTAATATAACAAACAATTTGTTTGTTTTTTTTTTGAATTATTTAATTAGATTTTATTTKAATTATTATTATTTTATTTTTGTTTAAAAAACATATATACCGTACATAAWTATTTTTGAAAATTTTTAATAAAAAAATTAATTTTTTATATGGATTTATTAATTAATTTTATAATAATAATAATGTTAAATAATAAATTAAATAAAAATATATATATAATTTATATACAATATTTATTTATAAATATTATAAACTAGATTATTATTTAGATTTTATTATTATTATTATTATTTTTGTTAAAACAAACATATATAAATACATAAATATATATTAAAAAAAATTAAATATTTAAAACTAAATTAACTAATAATGTTAAATAAATAAACACTTAACATTTAATTTATAGATATTTATTTTTTGAAAATATAACACAAAAAATAAATCAAATAATTTGTTTGAATGGGTGGGTGTGTATAGTAGTATACATTATAAGTATTATACCCCCCACCCTCCCCCCCCCCAAAAAAACCCCTTTTTTTATCCTTCAGTAGTTTCCTCTGTTGATGTCTCCTCYGATGTCTCACTCCATGTCTCCTCTGAAGTCTCACTCCATGTCTCCTCTGATGTCTCATCCGATGTCTCCTCCGATGTCTCACTCCATGTCTCCTCTGATGTCTCATCCGATGTCTCCTCTGATGTCTCCTCCGATGTCTCCTCTGATGTCTCAYYCSATGTCTCCTCTGAWGTCTCCTCCATGTCTCCTCTGATGTCTCATCCGATGTCTCCTCCGATGTCTCACTCCATGTCTCCTCTGATGTCTCATCCGATGTCTCATCCGATGTCTCCTCTGATGTCTCCTCCGATGTCTCCTCTGATGTCTCCTCTGATGTCTCCTCTGATGTCTCCTCCGATGTCTCCTCCGATGTCTCCTCCGATGTCTCCTCCGATGTCTCWTCCGATGTCTCCTCCGATGTCTCACTCCATGTCTCACTCCATGTCTTAGTTGATGTCTCACCTGATGGTGAACTACTACTACYACTACTACTACTACTACTACTACTACTACTACTACTACTACTACTACTGTAATCAATAGATGGATCAGTAGTAGTAGTAGTAACGCCGTCTACTAGGCTATCGCAGCCGCCCAACAGTCCGCATAACAGTCCCCTAACCAAAAATATTACCGGTGTTAATATACCCCTTAACCCTGGTGTCAGTCCATCGAGTATGGGTGTCAATAGTCCACGCAATATGTTACCCAATAGTAGATCCAATAACGGTATGATCGATGGTTTCAATAGGCTATGCAATAGTTGGACAATCGGTTGCAATAGATTGCCAACCAATGGTATACTCAACAATGGTTTCAAGATTTCCAATACGGGTAACAATGATTGGCCAATTAGCGGACCTAACAGTGAGTTTAATAGGCCGATGATAGTGTAGGCCCGACTCAATTGATTGGACTCTACCGGTACTACCGTTTCCCGTCGGACAACATTGATAACAGCGGCCGTATTCAAGCTAACTGTGCTCACGAAATATGAATAGATAGTAGTAATAATCATATTATTATTAGTATAGATTAGTTAATAACATTGAGGGAGGAATGGGTGGGTATGGTTTGGTGGGTGTGTGGATATGGGGGGTAAAATAATGGAGGTTTTTTAAGGATCTATACACTTAAAAATAGGGTTATAATAAGTTATAATGTAATTAAATATAAATTAAATAATAATAGATATATAGTATTTAATTTAATAGTAATAATCATATTATTATAGACTAGTTAATAACATTGGGATTAGGAGTGGGTGGGTATGGTTGGGTGGGTGTGTGTGTGTGTGGATATAGGGGGTTAAATAATGGGGGTTTTTAAGGATCTATACACTTAAAAATAGGGTTATAATAGGTTATGTAATGTAATTAAATATAAATTAAATAATTATAATTATAATAATAATAATTACCTGTTAGACCATAAATAGTTAGAAAAGTTATCAAAAATTTATAGGCCATAACTGTATATATATATATATATTCAATATATCTATATATATTGTAAATTATATATATATGTGCTAGTTGCTTTTTATTTTTATTTTTTTTTAAAAAAAGCACTATCTAGCATAATAAAATAATGGCATATTAAAAATAAATTTTATGCATAGACTTTTATATATTAAATTTAATCTACACTAAATGTTATAATAACTATTATAGAATATAAATATGCATGATCATTTAATTTTTTTAAAAAAAATTTTAATTTTTTTTCACATTTTTTTTAATATTAATTAATTAAGTAATATATAAAAATATTACTACTACTACTAATACTACGTTAATTAATTATTGTTTTTTTTAATAATAATAATAATAATAATAATAATTGTACAATAGTAGTGTGTATGTGTGCGTCAAAAAATTAAAATTATTTACAAATATTTATTATTTTTTTAAAAAAAAAATTATAATCAAAAAAAAACATTATTAATATATTTTAGATTTTATTTTAATTATTTTTTTTGTTTATAAAAAACACTTCTAAATAAACATATAGAAAATTATAATTAATAAACTAATTTTAATTTTAATTTTTTTGGATTAATTAATTAATTTAATAAAAACAATAATTTTAAATAAAAAAATAAATAAATAAAAATACATTTAATTTATAGAAATTTATTTTTGAAAACAAAAAAATCAATTAAATAATTATGTAAATAATGTAATTTTTTATTTTGGAAAAATAAAACAAATCTATAATTTTATTTACTATTTTTTAAAAAAATATATTAAATATATTAATTTATTATAAAAAAATTAATTATTTTACAATTTAAAAAAATTAACAATAATTTGATAGAAAAAATATAATATTATTATTATTATTAAAAAAAAATATATACATTATATTTGCGTCAATTATATTTTAATAAAATTCAAAGTCTAGAAAACAAAATAAATAAATTTTATTAATATTTATTATTTAAAAACAAATTATACTGTATTAAAAAATAAATTTAATTTATTATTTAAAAAAAAACAATTTAGATTTTAATTTTATTATAATTAAAAAAAAAAAAAAAATTTTGATTTATGATAAATAAATTTGTTAAATATTTTTATTTTTAAAATTTTTCATTTATCCATCAATTAGTTTTCCTCAGTTGATGTCTCATCCCATGTCTCTGTTGATGTCTCATCCCATGTCTCTGTTGATGTCTCATCCCATGTCTCACTTGATGGTGAACTATCATCATCATCACCATCAGCTGATCCAGTATAGTCATCATCATTATCATCAGCAGTGGTTGAATCATCTATTGGACTACCAGTGCTTAGATCACCACTACCACCATCACCATCACAGCCGCCTAACAGACCGCACAACAGTCCCCTAACAGCCAACAGTATAGGTGTTAGTAAACCCCTGAGCGCTGGTGTCAGTCCACCGAGTATGGGTGTCAATAGTCCCGACAGTATGGGTCCCAATAGACCGGCCAGTCCCCAGACTAATGGGCTCAACAAACGAAACAATAGACCGACAATCGGCTCCAATAGATTGCCCAAAATCGGTACGCTCAACAATGGCCGGAGTATTACAAGTACGGGCATCAATGCCGAACCAATCAGCGGACCTAACAGTGCTGTCAGAAAGCCGATTATGTTGTCGGCCAGTGTCAGCTGATTGGACTCGGCTGCCACTACCGGTGCCACTGATAGTTGTACATTACGTTTGGCTATAACATGATGGCCGACATCGATAACAGCGGCCATATTCAGGCTAACTGTGCCCCCAATGAAATGGACAAATATATTGTATAATTATTATTATTATTATTATGGGTGGGTGGGTGAGTATTGTTGGTTGGTTGGGTGGGTGGGTGAGTGGATAAGGGTTATTATGGTTTAGGATATAATATTGGGATTATATTTAATTATGATTAGAATAATATATAAAATGATAGTTAGTATTAGTAAATATTGTTATTAATTCAAAAAAAAAATAATAATTTTTAATTACTAAAATTATAATAAATACTAATAATATTTTAATTATAATTACCTATTAAACCGTAAATTGTTAGAAAAGTTATCAATAATTTGTAGGCCATAACTATTTATTATACTATATATTTATATATATATAACTTTATATATATATATTGATAGTCAAATATAATTAAAATTTATTAAAAAAAAAACTATTATAATAACTTTTGGTGATATGATTATTTTATTTTTATTTTATTTTTAAAAAAAATAAATAATATAAACTAGTTGCTTTTTATGTTTGCACTGTCTAGGCTAACGAAATAATGATATATTAAAATTTTTATGCATAGATTTTTATATACTTTATTTTACACTAAAATTTTTTTAAAAATTAATAATTGCATTTAATAAGCATGATCATCTAATTTTCTAGATTTACACAATATTTATTATTTTTTTTAAATAAATAATTTTTTTAAGTAATATACAGTATATATATATACATATACGTCAATTAATTATTGCTAATTTTTAAAAGCAATAATTATATATTAAATATAATTGTACATGTTAAGTTTTTTTTAAAAAAAAATTATAATACCACTAAAAAAATTATTAGTAAAATATTTTAGTTATTTAAAATTTAACATTTTTTAATCAAAAAAAAAACTTTATTAATAATTAATTAATAAAAGAATTGTTTTTGTTTATAAAAAATTTAATTTAATTAAGATTTTATTTTTGAAAAATAAAACAAATCTATAATTTTATTTACTATTTAAAAAATATATGTATATTAAATAAATTAGTTTATTATCAATAAAATAATTATTTTGCAATAATAATAATAGTTAAGTACTTTATGAGTATAATTAGTAATTTAAAAAAAAATAACAATGAATTGATATAAAAATTATAATATTATTATTATTAAAAAAAATTTTACATTATATTTGCGTCAATTATATTTTACTAAAATAAAAGTCTAGAAAAATTTTTTTATTAAAAACATATTAGACTGTATTAAACAAAAATTTAATTTATTATTTTAAAAAAAACAAAAAACAATTTAGACTTTAATTTTATTATAATTTTAACAAAATTTTTTAATTTATGATAAATATTTTTTTAAATATTTATCAAAAATAAATTATACTGGATTAAACAATAATTTAATTTATTATTTTTTATTTAAAAAACAATTTAGATTTTAATTTTATTATAATTTTAACAAAATTTTTTAATTTATGATAAATATTTTTTTAAATATTTATTAAAAACAAATTATATTGTATTAAACAAAAATTTAATTTATTATTTAAAAAAAAACAATTTAGATTTTAATTTTATTATAATTTTAACAAAAATTTTTTTATTTATGATAAATATATTTAAAAAATATTTATTTTTTTTTATCAATCAATTAGTTTCCTTCAGTTGATGTCTCATCCCATGTCTCAGTTGATGGTGAACTATCATCAGCTGAATCAGTAAAAACAGGGCCATCATCGCTACCATCATCTATTGGACTACCAGTGCTTAGATGATCACCACTATCATCATAACAGCCGCCCAACAGACCGCACAACAGTCCCCTAACAGCCAACAGTATAGGTGTCAGTAAACCCCATAGGGTTGGTGTCAGTCCCCCGAGTATGGGTGTCAATAGTCCCCACAGTATGGGTCCCAGTAGACCGGCCAGTCCCCAGACTAATGGTCGCAACAAACGAAACAATAGACCGACAATCGGTACCAATAGATTGCCCAAAATCGGTACGTCCAACAATGGTCGGAGTATTTCAAGTACGGGCAACAATGCCGGTCCGACCAGCGGACCTAACAATGCTGTCAGATAGCCGATAATGGTGTCGGCCAACGACAGCTGATTGGACTCAGCTGCCACTACCGATACTACCGCCGGTGCCAGTGATTGTACATTACGTTTGGCCATAACATCGATAACAGCGGCCATATTCAAGCTAACTGTGCTCTCAGAAAATATATAATTAATTAATTAATATTATAATTATAGGATAATTAATAAAATTATACAATTATTGTTATATATATATATATATATATAACTTGTAATTAAAATATTAATTTTAAATATTAAAAAAAAACAATTACCTATTAGACTATAAATAGTTAAAAATGTTGTCAAAAATTTATAGGCCATGACTTTTACTTAGTTGTTTTGTGGATTTTTTTTTATTAAATAAAAATTAATTGATTAATATTAAAAAAATAAAATAATGAATAATAAAAAATATTATAGATTTTCAATTGCTATGAATAAAAAAACTATTTTATTAAATATATTTCTAATATCACAAAACAACTAAATAGTGTATATATATATATGATATTAAAATTGAAACACAGTTTTTATATACTTTACTTTTAGTATTTTTTAAATAATAATAATAATAATAATAATAATAATTTGTAATAGCATGATCATCTAATTTTTATTTATTTATTTTACTGTTGTATAGTTGTTGTAATAATTTTTATTAATTTTAATTCAACTATTATATTTTAATAATAATAATAATTTTAAAAATATTATTATATAATATATGACGTAGATTATAGATTAAATATATATTTATAATTATAAATTATTTGTAATTTATTTAAAATTATATATTTTAAACATTATTTAATATATTTTATAAGTTTTCAACAATCAGTATATTTTTTTTAAAAATATTTAATTATAATAAAATAATTTAATTAGATTAAAAATTATTACAGTAAAACTAAACTAAAATATTATTAATTATATAAAATTTTAATGCAATTTTTAGTTAATTTAGTTAAAATAAAATATACTAGTATATATCTAAAAGTTTATTTTTTTAAAAATATGTAGCAATAAAACTAACAATGAGTTGTTATAAAAAACTTAATTTTAAATAATCATTATATTTGCGTCAATTAAATTTAATAAACTAAAATTTTTATTACAAAATAATTTTATTAATCAGTTTTATATTTTATTTTATTTAAATACTAATCTTTTTATAAAAAATAAATAATTATTTATTTAATAAAAATATTTACAAAAACAAAAAATATTATAATTTAAAAAAGTAATATTATATTATATATTATTTGAATTTAATTGTTGTAAAACCAAAAATATTTGTTTTTAGTTAAATATAGTAAAATAAAGTTAATACACAAAACACACACACACATACACACACACATACACATACACACACATACAAACACACACATACACACACACACACACACACACACACACACACACACACACACACACACACATACAAACACACACATACACACACACACACACACACACATACACACACACACACATACACATACACATACACACACATACACACACATACACATACACATACACACACACACATACAAACACACACATACATACACATACATACACATACATACACATACATACACATACATACACATACATACACATACATACATATATATATATATATATACATACATACACTCATACACACACATAAATACACACATAAATACACATAAATACACACATACACAAACACACACGCATATATATATACACTTGTATTTTATACATACATGTAAGTGTATACTATATATATATACTGTATATACACTTACATACTGTACATTTACTTTATTATCAATTTAGATAAACTACCAGTGTCATCTATATTATGTTAATGTTCATTAAAAAAACAAAAAAAATATTTAAAAAACTAATTAAATAAAATATATATATTACATATCTATTATAAGTAATATTATAATACAAAAAAAAATAAAATAATAAAATAAAATTTCAATTAGACTTCACTAGAATAGAGAATCTGTTGGGGTTTGGGTGTACTCATCGATCGGACAGTTACTAAATTACCGGCGCCGGCACCACCACTACCACCACCACCACCAACACCAGGTGCCGGTCCAAAAGTGGCCAACCTGTTGGTCCCGTTGCCGGTAATTGTATTGCCGATAACCGATGGCGGCGGCGGTATCGATGATAAGCGGGTCGATTGGCGTTTAGTTGGGCGGCGACCGTTACGGCGGCACCAAAACAAGCACAGGCCTACCAATAGGGTACCAGTGCTGGCGACTATCATAACCGATCCAAATACTAGAAATACTAGACCATAGTTATAGTATTGATCCAATTGATAGGCCCATGTTATAAACAGGACAATACCGAACCCCAGTAGTATAGCACCGGTAGTTAGCAATAGTATCAGTGTTATGATTGTCATAATAGCCGGTGCACTACTAATACTACTACTACTACTACTAGTTGGTAGTCTATTGTTGACCATTATTATTGGATTATTAAATTTTATTAATTTTTATTAAAAAATTATATTAAATTTAATACACATTTTTTTAACTATATATATATGACATTATATATCATATATATAAACAATTATATAATAATTAGTTTATATATATTTATTTATATTTAGTTAGTTATACAAGTATATAATGTTTTAGTTAATTACAATTACAATTATAAATAATAATAATAATAATATAAGTTAATTAGTATTTAACAACAATAATAATATTATATTATTATTAATAATTAATATCAAGTTTTTTATTAGTATTATTATGTTTTTAAAAAAAAATCAAGTACAATGATTTAGCAAATATCTATTTACAATATTTACTGTATATATATATATATATATAATGTTTTTTATATTTAATATTATAAATATGGCATAGTTTAGTAAAACAGTAAATTATATTATAATAAATAAAATATTTTATTTATTATATCTTAAGATTCATATATATAAATAAAAAATTTAAAATATTTTTGTGAGTCAATAAAATAGTCAAAACAAAAATATTTTTCAAAACAAAAAAAACAATTATTTTTGAATATATATTAAAAGTTTTTTAATAAATACTGTAATATTTATATACATATATAATATTATTTATATATGTTTTTATTTTATTTTTTTTGAAAAAAATATATTATATTATAATATAAACTAATTAAACATTTCAATAATAATTATTAAAAATATTGATAAATATTTTTAACAACAAAAAAATTCACATAATTTTTTGAATACATAATAAAAAATTTTTTAAAAATACTGTAATATTTATATTGTAAATAATATTATTTATATATGTTTTTATTTTATTTTTTTTGAAAAAATATATTATATTATAATATAAAAAAAATATTATTATTTACTTATGAATAAAATGCTGAATTAAATTTAATATTTGTATCATATTTACTGTTAGGTTGTCGTTGTTGTTGTTGTTGATTAAAATTATTATTATTATTATTATTATTATTTGCTAATAATTTTTTACGTGCAATTAATATGAATATGATAGATAGTAGACTGGCCAAAATTAGGACTGATCCAAATACTAGTATAACTATGCCCATGCTAAATAATTGTTGATAGCAAGCAGATAATATCAATAGTATACCCAGTACCAATAGGGCTATACCGAAAAATAGGGAGCACAGGGATGTAAACCATGAGATAACTGTGTCGTTCATATTGTTTATTATTTAATATTAATAATAATAATAATAATAATTATTATTATTATATATATATATATATAAATATATTTGTCTAAAAAAATAAATAATTTTAATTAGTAAATAAATTTTACAATTTATTATTAATTTTGTTTGTTTGAAAAGTTTATAATAATTTAAAATAATAATAGTTTACTTACATATACTGTATATATATATATATAAATGTCTAAAAAAATAAATAATTTTAATAATTAAACAATATATTAATTATTATTATTATTGTTTGTTTGAAAAGTTTAAAATAATTTAAAATAAAAATAGTTTACTTACATATACTGTATATATATATATTTATATATTTATATATGAATTTTGTAAATAAATAATATTTTTATTTATAATAAAATTATTTATTATTTTTAATATTATATATACAGTAGACTACTGTATATAAATTTATATATCAATATAAGAGACATATTTATAATGATATAGCAATTATTATTATTATTTTATTATATATATTATTATTATTTGTTATATTTGTATTCAATTTTTTTCTAAAGTAATGATAAAAAAAATTTTGCTAAAATAATTAACAGTTATCTACTATTACTTATATATAATATATTTATAAATTATTAATTAAGTATTATTATTATTGTGTTTTAGTATATGTTTTTTTTAAATTAAGTTTATTTTCCTATTTTCTATACAAAATTATTTATACAATTATATATTGTATATTCATATTATTTTACTAATAATATATTTTATTACTGTTTATAATAAATATTTTTAGATTAAAACAAAAATTACATGTATATTATTGTACTGTAATTAATAAAATACAAATTATATAGTATTATATATATATATATATAATTATATTAAATAATTTTAAAATTAGTGCCAATAATTAGTACATTTAAAAAAATTTAATATATTTTTTAATTGTGCGCAATTGCAATGTTATTATTATTATTATTATTATCAATGTCAAATTAAGATAAAATTGATCATATGATGATATACAGTATAATTTTATAATAACTAAATAAAAATTAATTAATTAATATTATAAACAAATATTTTTGTTTAAATAAAATAATATAATATATATAAACAACTAGTGATTAAATAAAATTAATAAATGTTTTGTTAAAAATTAATTATTAATATATATATATATATTAAATTAAATTATTATTATTATCAAAAAAACCTTCAAATAAAATGCCAATAATACAGGTGTCGACAACACTGGCCCGGAGTCAGATACCAGTGCCGTTTGTCCGCCAAACGGCCCAACTATTGTGCAAACTGTTTGATAAACCAATGAAATCAATAACCGTTTCGATAAATTGCGATCAACTAATGTTTTCGGGTAATTATTATTAATAATATTATTTGTTGAACTACCTGTCCTCATGTGTGTGTGTGTGTATGTGTGTGTGTGTAATGTGTGTGTGTGTGTGTATGTGTGTGTATGTGTGTGTATGTGTGTGTATGTGTGTGTATGTGTGTGTATGTGTGTGTATGTGTGTGTATGTGTGTGTATGTGTGTGTATGTGTGTGTATGTGTGTGTATGTGTGTGTATGTGTGTGTATGTGTGTGTATGTGTGTGTGTGTGTATGTGTGTGTATGTGTGTGTATGTGTGTGTWTGTGTGTGTATGTGTGTGTATGTGTGTGTATGTGTGTGTATGTGTGTGTRTGTGTGTATGTATGTGTGTGTATGTGTGTGTGAATACTAACTGTCCAATCGGTATATATTTATATATTAATTAATTAGGCAGTGATCCGGATCAACAACAACCTAACAAACCGATAGCCGTGTCTACCGTCAGAAATATTGGCCAAATGACAGCCGATAGTAATCGTCGGGCCACTCGTGAACTGACCAAACTTTTTCGGGAACAGTTGGCTATAGGAGAGTCGGAAATTAAGTTTGTTTTTATTGAGTTGTCGGCCGAAAATTTAGGACTTAACGGCCAATTGAAAAGTGATTTATAAATAATAATATGAATAATAATAATAATAATAATAATAAAAGATATTAATTATTAATAATAATTATAACTTAAAAACTATTTACTAATAATTAGTTTAATGTTTTATTTTTGTTGAATAATTTTTTTATTGAAAATTATATAAAGTTTGAGAAATAATTTATTTTATCTCTATTTTTATGATTTATCTTTTTTTATATAAATAATAGTTTTTTTTCATTTGTAATAAATTGTTGATTTTTATTTGATTTTGTTTTAATTTTTTAAAAAACAAACATTTAAATATTTATTTAGCTAATTAAATAAACTTTATATATATATCTATATATATATATATTGTTATTATTATTTTATTTATTATTAATAGTTGAAAAAATGTTAACTATTAAACAAATAAACAACAACATTAATAATAATTATATTTTAATATACTCATTAAAATTTGTTTATTTCAATTAATTATTAAATTAAAAAAAATACAATTTTTGTTTAATAAATCAAATAATTATTAATCACTAACAACAAAAAATGTAAAGTTTATATACAGTATATAATTTGTTTTCGGTTATATTATACATAAAGTTTCACATTTTTAATTTTAAAAAAAAAATTATTAATAATTAATTATCATAATACAGTATATTTTTAAAAATATAATATTATAAGACAAATTTTTTTTCAACAATATATATATATATATATTGCCCGGGGGTTTATAGTAGCAAACTATATGTATTAATAGTTAGAAATATTATAACATATAAATGTGATAATTTAATAATAATAATATATTTGTATAATATATGTCTAATGTGTGTGTTTTTGTAAAATACATATTAAATTACAATTAAAAACAGTTTATTTTATTAAATTTTCTAATATTATTATTATTATTTTAAATAATAATTTTCAAAATATTAAATAACTTAAGTGTTAACTAATTAATAAATCTAAAAAAAATTGCATTTAATTAAACAAATAAAATTAAAAATATTAATTAAAATAAAAATTATTATTTATATTTTAACATGCTTAACTAATCGCTTTAATATCCGACCAACATATGTACAGTTTAGTCTACATAGTTGTACCCATAGTTGATTATTATCAGTCAAATCAATTAAATCAATATATTTAGCAATGAATTCAATTGATTTATCAATAATATTTGTATCACTACTACTACTACTACTACTACTACTTGTATTACTATTACTACTACTACTAGTGTTGTCAAACTGTATGAATAACTGCAATGTTTGGATACAATTACCGGGTGTTAGCCTAAAATATAGATAATGTTCGCATAGATCACGTAAATCTGGGACCAGATATTTATTGGCCACATATAGCAAATCGGTGGCCAATCGGTCCAATTGACACATCAAACGACCGAAATAAAGAAATTGGAGAAATATTTCCATTGTATCGGCGGTAATGTCATCGATAACTAGTTCACGATCACGTGATTCCTGCCATTCCCTGTTCATAAACATTGTATAGAATACCTCTGAACGGGCACTCAATAGTGAGCGTGTAGTATAAAATAGACGATATTTTCGGGATTCATTGGTTGTCCCGTTCAGCGATTCCCGACATTTGATTAGACAATCGCTTAGTTCCGGTTGATTATAACATTTTGCGGGAAAATTAGTGTTAACAGCAAGTAGTCCTGTTTTAGCAGGATTTTCAATGATAAACATTAGCAATAATTTTATATATTTTTGATCCCGGTGCTCCTGTTTAGCTAGGTCATAGTTTAATTGTTGGGTAATTTGATCAAGGTTATTACGTAATTGAAACTTGCTAGTTTGTGTATCAATGTAATTAACCTTGCTACTATTATTATCATCATCATCGACAATAAAATTTTCACCAATATTATCCAATAAATAAATTGTTAATTTACACTGGGCATTTTGTATGTTTGATTCATGTACATTTAGGCTAACCCTAACCAATTTATCCATGGTTAATAGTTGTACACTTATGTTCAGGGTAATTGATGCAATTGTAATTGTCTGGCTTGTAATTGTTGTACCTTGGTAAAATTGATCCAGATCATTGATTATAAATTTCAAACATGGCTTATAGTATAGATTGTTTTCGCAATAATCAAATTTATCTAGTTGATTTATTGAATTGTTTGTTATAATTGCCATTATTATTATTATTCAGATAATTTAATTATTAATAATTATTATTATTAAATTTAAATTATAAAGTAATAACTATTTTTTAATACTCTATTAAATTGAAATAATTAATACAAAAAATTAAATAAAATATTACTGTATTTTGTGTAAAACAGTCTATTAATTAAAAAATAAATTTAATAATGTTTTTATTAAATATTATCACAAAACAAATATCACAAAAAAATATGTCACTAAAAATAAGATAATAATGTATTAATAATTTTTATATTATTTTTATAATAATATATAGATATTTTTAATATTATATGTTTTATTTTATTTTATGTTTTTTTAATAAACAAGATAGTAAATTACAATTAAAAACATTTTTATTCAATAATTTAAATAATTTGTAAAAACTATTTAAACTAAAGACATCTATAGTTTCATTAATTGACTATTATTTATATATATTTTTTAAAATAATAAAAATATTAATTATTATTATTATTAAAACTTTAATATTAATTATTTTTGATATAATAATTAGAAAATTATTGCGAACTATAAACTAATAAAAACTAATAGTTAAATACTAATTAACTACATATTACAATTGTAATATTTATTTAATATTTATTTAATATTTATTTATTATTTAATTAATTTTAAACCAAATAATTATACATTACTTATAAGTTTAAAAAAATATATTTTATTTATTATAATTTTAAATCAAATTAAATTAAAATAGAGAGAGAGAGAGAGAGAGAGAGAGAGAGAGAGAGAATAATTATTTAAATAACAAAATGTATTAAAATTATTTAAAATACATTAATAATTAAATAAAACAAATAATTTTAAAAATAAAAACTTTAATAATAAAATAACAAATAATTTTTTTAAGTTATTTTGTTTTATTTTTTTTATTAACAGTTTTCTAGGGTTTCAATACATTTTCACCGTAAGCTTTAGCAGTGTCACCGTTGACTACGAAATTACCCGGCGGTTGATAATCGCATACAACATAGGTTTCGTACCATTGGCTGCCCTTACCGTAACAACGGGCACAACCGACCCGTGTAGTCGACTTCCAGACTAATTGCGTGAAATGACCGATTTGTTTGCTGGGATCAGTGGACTGGTAGGTATTGTAGTCGTAGTATTGGACTTCATTATACCTGTAATTAGTTTTTTTTTTAAAATATATATTAAAATTATTAGTATTATAACTATTATTATTCTCATAGCTATTATTAGTATTGTAAATATTATTAATAGTAATTATAAATATTATTAGTATTATAAATATTACTATTAGTATCATAACTACTATTAGTATTATAACTATTATTATTAGTATTATAACTATTATTATTAGTATCATAATTATTATTAGTATTATAACTATTATTATTAGTATCATAATTATTATTAGTATTATAACTATTATTATTAGTATCATAATTATTATTAGTTATTCTAATTATAATTATTATTATTATCATAACTATTATTAGAATTAGAATTATTATTAGTATTATACAGTATATAAAAATAATTAATTAGCAAATTATTTATAAATAAAATTATTTTTCCAAATAAATTAAATACCATTCATCAATAGCTGATTTACATGAACCGACACCTGGAGCTGAACTACCTGCCCATGCTAGATTTTCACCCGTACCACCAGCTAGGCCGGCATGACCATGTTGTAGGTCCTGATATTGGGATATCAATTGGCACCGGGACTTGGCATATGTTACCAACTATTATATACATTTATATACAGTAGATAGTAAAGTAGGATATAATTAATAATAATATTATTATTATTACCGACTGATCAATGGTCAATCCCGGTGCGTGATGTTGGCTCCGGTAGGCATTGGTTGACTGTAGACAGTCCTGTTGAAATGTATCATCAGTTTTATCATCCAATGGTCCGCGTATAGGATCCAGACAATTGACTTATTAATATATAAAGTATAACAAATGTATACAAAAAAAATAATTAAGTAATTAATTTATTTATTTAATTAAATATTTTTTTTAAATAAATAAATAAATAACTATATTATAAAAACTATTATTTTTATTTTTAAAAAATTATATGATTAAAATAAACAATTAAATACCTGTAACTATTGTAGCTGCTATTGCAATAATAGCTAATTGAGCAGTATACATTTTTTAAACTAGTAATTAATTAATTATAAAAATAAATTAGATCATTGAATTTATATGAAAAAAATTAAAAATATATAAATAATTAATTAATTATTAGTTTAATTAAATAAACTAGTTGCTTATATACCTAACAAATATAAATTTTTTTAAAAATAAAATCCTGATTGTATTTTTATTATGTAATAATTTCAATTGAAAAAACAAAACAAAATTATCATGAAAAATTACAAATATATTATATTGGTAAATTAAATTATAGTTGTTAAACTAGTAGTACAAATAAATAGGATGATAGGACATTTTATTTTAAAAATATTTAAAATATAATAATTACCAATAGACTATATAATTAATTAATTTAATTAAATATTTTTTTAGATAAATATTTATAGTAGTTTTCATAATAATAAAAAAAATTAAAAAAATTAAAAAAAAAATCATTTAGATTGTATTATTATCTATTTAAATAATTGTGAATATGCTAAAGTTAGAAAATAATGTTATATATTAATATTATATGAATATATATAAACCAAAATTACTATTACTTACTGATATTTAGTTAATTATAAGGTTAAAAAAATAAAGTAAAACAATAAATATTTTCTAATGCAATTTATTTATTAATTTATCAAAATTATTGGGGAAAAAAAGTTAAAATTATTAAAAATTTGGAAATTTCTTAGGATAGGTAGTTTAAAAATCAATTATATCTTGATAAGCTTGCATAATTTATAATATTATATTTTTTCAATAAAAATAAATATTATAAATTATATTGGATTCAAGTGTTATTTATTGTGGAAAAACATTTTGGCCATGAGTTTTCCGGCCATTGAATACGAGATTACCGCGTGGCGTATAATTGCATACGATTGTAGTTTTGTAGTTTATTGGGCCAGTCTGGCCATAACAACGGGCACAACCCATATGTGTAGTGAACTTCCAGACCAATTGGGTAAAATGTCCGACCTCTTTTTCCGGATCTATTGACTCGTAAGTATTATAATCGTAAAATTGATTTTCATTGTACCTTTTTTAAAAAATTAATTAATTAGTAAATATAAGTTAGTAAATATAAGTTAGTAAATAAGTTAGTAAGAAGTTAGTAAATTTATAAGTTAGTAATATATATATATATATATATATATATATATATATATATATAAAGATAATGCTAATTAAATGTTTAAATTTTAGTAATTTATCGTGTACAGTTAACCTAACTTTTTAAGCAAGCTAAATTCAAGTATACAGTTACTTAATATTATGTAAATTATATATTTTAAAAATTTACAATGCTAAAGCATTACAAGAATAATAATGTACAGTAGTTCAAACTTTTAACTGTATATTAATATATACTAATTACCAATTAGTAACAGCATCTTCACTAGTATTCATTGCGCCAGTAAAGTCCGGGTCAGTCGATCCAACGCCAGCCGCGAATAAATTTTCGCCAATTCTTCTATCTAGTCCAACATGACCACTATTATATTTCGAAATATATTGACAACGATCTTTGGCATACTTTACAAGCTATATATATATATATTTATATAATATTTATATATATACACAAAATCATAAAAATAATGTTATTTTTAAATGTCAAATTTAATATATATATATTAATATATATATATATATATATTAGAATTAATATATTTTTATCTTAAAATAAATCTAATAATAATAATATTGCTTTTTTATGTTTCTTACTTTTGGAGCTATTTTCACATCGGGTACGTGATGTAGGTTTCGGTATTTATTTGTTAAGTCCAGACATTCCTGTTGAAAGGCATCGTCCGTTTGGTCGGGCAGTTGTCCGTAACATACTGTCCGTAATAATAATAAATAAAACATAAATTAATTAATACTATTAAATTTTTTTTAACTAAATAAAATCATTCTTTTTTATATTTAAACTGATTAAAAATAAATTTTTATAAAAAAAATTACATACCAGCTACCAACATGGTAAATGTTATTAATTGAATAGTATACATTATTTTGTTTTATTTAAAAAAAATTATTATATTTTTTTAAATAACTGATAATGTTATGATACTATTTAGAAAATTAGCTAGCTACTTATATACTAGTTTATTTTTGATTTTCATTTGTTTTTTTCTATAAAATTTTAACATGTTTAATTAATTAAATATATACTGTATATGTTAGTATGTTTTACGGATATACAGTATTTTTTAATCAAAAAAAAAAAATAAATATAATAATTAATATTTAAAAAATAATAAAATTTTCTGTTCATATGATAATCATATGAATTCAAATAATCAATTAATTTAATAATAAATATTTTTCTAGCATGACATAAATGTCATACATATGCATAGTAACTAATAATAAAGTTAAAAACACTTGAATTTTTAAAAAAATTAATAAATTATAAAAATTTATGTAATAATAATAATTTTTATATTATGTATTACATTGTATTTTCTATAATTTTTTTTTAAATTTTAGTCATATAATTAAATATATGTTAATTTCATATACAGTTAATTATTATATTTTTTTATTAAAATAAATTAGAAGTTTAAATATATGCTAATATTTCGATACTGTAATTATACTATTGTTTTATATAATAATTGCTATATTATTATAATTAATTTTTATGCACCTAGCTTAACCTGTTAAATAAATTAGTTTTAATATTAGCAATTAGTAATTGTATTAAAGATTATATTTTATTATTTATAATATTTTGTAATAATTTTTTGTAATATTTTTTACTAATAAGATATCTATACTATTAATAAAACTAATTAAATATTTTTGCAAATAAAAATTAAATAGTTAAATATTTTATACATTTAAGTTATTAATTTTTTGTTATTTAAAATATCTAAATTTTAATTTAATCTTATTTTAATTATAATTTTTATTTTTATAATTTATATGATTATTATATGAATTCAAATAATATAATTAATTATAATTTTATTTTTTTTAATTAGTATTTTGTCATAAAATGTTAAGTTTTTAAAAACACTTGAATTTTTATAAAATTAATTATTTATAGCAATTTATATAATAATTTTTATAGTTTCTATTACATTGTATTTTTTATTTTATAAGTTTAAAAGTTGTTAATATTATTAAATACATAATTCATAAAACAAATAAAAATTTTATTATTAATTTTTAAGGATATATACAAAAAATCTGTTATTTCTATATMTATCAAAACATTTTTTTAAAAGTTAAATTAATTATTAACATATTTTTTAAGATAACGTAAAACTAAAATATACAGTTAATTATTATAAATATAKATATATTGCTTAACTGCTAAATAAATTAGTTATATAATAGCTATTGTATGATTTTTTTAAACATTATTGAAAAAATTTAATAGTTTTAGATAACTATTAAAAAAATTTTCAATAATAATTTTATTATTATTATTTATAATGTAATTTAAATACTTATTAATAAAACTAATTAAATATTTATTACAAATAAATACTATTTACTTTATATAATTAGTAGAAATTTTTTGATTATTTATTATTTTTAATTCAACAAAAAAAATTACAAAATAATATATTTAATATATTTATTAAAAATTTTATTTATGAATATTAATAATTTTATTGTTTTTTATTAATTAATAATTAATTATATTTTTTAGGGCTTCAATACATTTCCGCCGTAAGCCTTAGCCTTATCGCCATTGAAAACAAAATTACCGGGCAATTGATAATTGCAGGTAACATAGGTTTCGTACCATTGGCCACCCTTACCGTAACAACGGGCACACCCGACCCGTGTGGTGTCCTTCCAGACTAATTGCGTGAAATGACCGATTTGTTTGTTSGRRTCAGTGGACTGGTAGGTATTGTAGTTGTAGTATTGGACTTCATTATACCTGTAATTAAAAAAATAATAATAATTAAAATAATTAATTATTAGTATTATAACTATTATTAGGTATCATAACTACTATATTATTAGTATTATAAGTATTATAAGTATTATAAGTATTATAAGTATTATAAGTATTATAAGTATTATAAGTATTATAAGTATTATAAGTATTATAAGTATTATTAGTATTATTAGTATTATAACTGTTATTAGTATTATAACTATTATTAGTATTTTAATTATTATTAGTATCATAACTATTAGTATTAGTATCATAACTATTAGTATTAGTATCATAATTAATTTATTATTAGCATTATAATTATTATTAATTATTAATATAATTATAACTATTATAAGTATTATAACTATTATTAGTATTATCGCTATTATAAGTATTATAACTATTATTAGTATTATCGCTATTATTAGTATTATAACTATTATTAGTATTATCACTATTATTAGTAGTTTCATAACTATTATTATTAGTATCATAAATCCTTTTAGTATTATATATAAAAATAATTAATTAGTAAATTATTAATTTTAAAAATAAATAATTATTTTTTGTTGTTGTGTTATGTATAATTACCAGCCATTAATAGCTGACTTGCATGAACCGACACCTGGWGCTGAACTACCTGCCCATGCTAGATTTTCACCCATATCACCAGCTAGGCCKGCATGACCATGTTGTAGGTTCTGATATTTGGATATCAATTGGCACCGGGACTTGGCATATGTTACCAACTATTTATATACAAATTTATATATAGTATAGTAGGGTTATAATTAAWTAGTAATAAAAAATTATTTATTATTATTATTATTATATATAATTACTTTCTGGTCAATAGTTAGTGCCGGTGCGTGATGTCGGCTCCGGTAGGCATTGGTCGACTGTAGACAGTCCTGTTGAAAGGCATCATCAGTTTTATCATCCAATGGTCCGCGTATAGGATCCAGACAATTGACTTTTTTTGAATTAAATATATATATAAAAATTAATAWAYAAMTTTWAAAAAATAAAAATTAAATTCTATATTTTATTTTTAAAAATATTTACAAAAAAATATAATTAACTTAAAATTATTACATAAAAATTATTTATCTAAATAAATAAGTTTATTGTATTTAATTTTTAAAAATTTAATAATAATAATAATAATTATGTTAATAATAATAATAAGTAAATATATTTAAAATTAATATTAATTATCTAAACAAAAATTATTAGCATTTATTTTTGTTATACTAATTATAATAAAAACAATAATAATTAAAAAATAAATTTTAATACCTATAGCTATTGCTACAGCAATTATAGCTAATTGAGCAGTATACATTTTTTTAATAAAAAAATTTAGTTTTTTAAAAAAATCTGATTTTAGCTAAAATATCTGATTGAATTTATACTAAAACAATAAAAACAATTTTGAAAACACTTGTTTGTAATAATCRATTAATTATTATTATTTATTTCAATAAATGTGCTAGTTGYTTATTATTTTATATAATATTAAATATTTATTTTCAAAAAATAATGATTTATGATRTTTTTRTGTACGTTATGTTATTTAGTATTTTTTTTAAAAAAATTACTTAATATAACAATTAAACTAAACATTAATTAATTGGAAAATTTTTTTTGTATTAATAAAATATTAAAAGTTTTTTTTATAATAAATATATTTTTTTTAATTACATGTACATTATATACGTAATATTGAATACAGTTTTGATACTAATAAAGTTGATAACAACTTATTAATATTATTATTGAATAAAAAAATTATTGTGTAATTTCTATTGATTCAAAACAATTAATTATTTTTTTAAAAATTTTTACTGATTTGATTACAAAATAATAAAAAAATAAAATTAACTAGACCATATTTTATTACTAATTAGTGATTAAATATTTTTAGTTTAACTAAATCATATCTGATTTTTATTTAATAAAATTTATTTAAAAAAATACAAATTATATTTATTAATATTAAATATTTAGTTAATGTAAATATTAAAATTAAAGTTTAGACAATAATTAAGCTAGATTAATTAGTAATAGTAATTAGTATAATTATTTTAACAATTAAATTTTATATAACATTACTAATTGTAAAAATAAATTTAAATAATTAAATATATATATATTTATATTAAGTTTATATAGAAAAAATTTAATTATTTCAATAATAATATTATTTTATTGTTTGTTAGTTTTTTAAATACAGTTTAATAATAATAATTATAATTAATTATTAAATATATTTATAAATTAACTAATTAAATTGGCAAAACATTATCCCTGAATGACTGATTATTTTGATCAATAATATTGCCACCTGGATAATAGTTGCATACAATAGCACCCATTAACCACTGGCCAGGTAGCTGAGCACCGGTACCACATCGGGYACAACCAACCGTCTGGCTTGATTTCCATACTAACTGTGTGAACGTTGCTGTCTGGTAGTTATAACCGGGTAAACTGTAATTGTATTTTGAGCTTTCACTGTACCTATTGGGTTGTTTTTAAAATTTAAAATTTAATAATTAATTAATTAATTTTTATAWATATWTAAATTAATAAMACTTATTAGTATAATGTATARTAATCAAATAAATATTTAATAAAAATAATTAATTAATTAAAATAAAATATAATTTATACTAATTAATGTTTAATATATTTTTTTAAAWAAAAAAWTATTTAAAACAATTTAATATYAACTAGCTAATATTATATATTTTAAACTATTTTAATTGCCATCTATTTATTTATTATTTTTTTTTTTTGTAAAAAAATAAYTATTTTATTACACATATTTCCACATATTTTTAGTATAAATTAATATTATAGATATTTTACAAAATAATAATAATAATAGTAATAATACCAATTGTCAACAACATTTGAGCAGGATCGTATACCATTGTTATTGTTGGGCATATAGTAGAACCAGTAGGTATTTTCGCCCACTCCCCAATCAGGGCCATTGTAATTGTTTGTTTGTTGTAAAATATACTGGCACCTTTTTTGTGAATAATCAATAAGCTAGAAAAATATATAWAATTAATATAAACATTATAATTATAATTATAAATAWAATTTAATAATAATTTTTTTTTCATACACTTTKATTAACATTAAGATTAGGTGAGTGATGTCGGCTCCGGTATGTATTATGACKTCCATACAATCGGWTTCAAATCTMGGGTCAGTTGTATTGATGGGTAACTGTRCTGTCGCTAGCAATAGGACATTGGCWATCGTAACGGTATTTATCAATAAAATAATAATAATATTTGAAAACATTTTTTTAATAAATAGTTTATTAATTTATGTTTATTTTTATAAAAATTTAAAAAATTAATTGAAAAAAACTTTATATTTATATTGCTGTATGTAATATATTATTAAATCTAACTATAAGTTAAAGTATTTTATACATTAAAAACAATAGAAATAATAACTATAATAATAATTATTAATATTATTATTATTATACAAATAAATATTGTTTAAATAAATATCAGTTACCTTGTTGATTATTAGTTATATTTTATTTTTTTTTTATCTAAATAATATGCTAATTTTTTAATATTGATAATGATTTTTCAATAAATAAATATTTTTATTAATAATAGTAATTATATCTAACATTATCTAAATAATAAAATTATAATAAATAATATGTTAATGATTTAAATTATTATTATTATTTTTTGATAATTTATAATTTTGTTTATCAAAWAAAAAACTTAAATTTTTATCAAATCATATTGACGTAAAAAATAATATTACAAAAAATAAATAAATAAATTTTAAATTTAATATAAATATTGTTTTTAGTATTAATATAATTATTATGATATTATTTATTTTAAAAATGTTAAAAATTTCACAACAATATTTTGCTACGAATAATTGTGCTAGTTAAATTATTTGTTTATTTTACTAATATTATTATAAGATAATTATTAAATAAAAAATTATTTTTACAACAACAAAAATTAAATATTAAAAATTAAAAGTTTATTTAGAAACTAAATGATTTTTAATTTAGTAAAATATAAAACAAAATCAAAAACAAATTAATAGTTAAATAATAATTTATAATAATAATACTTAAACAAAATTATTTATTTATTTTTGTTTTAATTTTTTAATAAACTARATATAAATAAAATAAAAATTTAATTTTAAAAAGTAAACTAATTATATAAAAAATATTTTTTTTGAGTGTTTAAGGTCTCAAAACATTTTCGCCGTAAGCCTTAGCCGTATCGCCGTTGACAATGAAATTACCCGGCGGTCGGTARTCGCATACAACATATGTTTCGTACCAACCATCACCACCGTCGCCATAGCAACGGGCACAGCCTACCTGGGTAGTTGACTTCCAGACCAATTGGGTAAAGTGTCCGATTTGTTTGCTGGGATCATTGGATTTRAATGTATCGTAGTTATAGTTTTTAACTTCATTATACCTGTTAATTAGTTTTTTTTAAAAAAATAATAATATTAAAATTATTTGTATTATAACTATTATTATTATTAGTATAATAACTATTATTATTATTATTAGTATAATAACTATTATTATTATTAGTTTAATAACTATTATTATTATTAGTATAATAACTATTATTATTATTAGTATAATAACTATTATTATTATTAGTATAATAACTATTATTATTAGTATCATAACTATTATTATTATTATCATAATTAATGTATTATTATTATCATAATTAATGTATTATTAGTATTATAATTATTATTTCTATCATAAATACAGTATTATTATTATAACTATTTTTTGTTAGCATATTAACTATTATTGTTAGTAATAATAACTATTGTTATTATTATTATAACTACTGTATTATTAGTATTAAAAATATTATTCGTATATAAATTTATTTTTTTGTTGAGTTTATTTATGTAATTAATTAATTAAATATATATATATAATTAATTGTATTTTTTAAATAAATAAATAAACAAAAACTAATTATTAATAAAGTTTTAACTATTAGTTTAATATCTAACTAATATTACTTATATTTATAAGTAGAATAAAACTAATAATAACAATAATATAACTAATAATAATAATAATTATTTTTTTGTGTATAATCTATAATAATAATAATAATAAAATAATAAAATTATTAYTTTTTTTTCGTAATATTAATAATTAATATTAGTTATAGTTTATTATATATATATATAATTACCAATCATCAATAGCCGATCTACATGAGCCCACACCCGGCTCCGAGCTAGCWGCCCAGGCCAGATTTTCGCCAGTTCCCCGTTGTAGGCCGGCATGACCATGGGATAGGCCATCCGATTGGGATATCAATTGGCACCGGGACTTGGCATAATCAACTAGCTAAATATTAAAAAATAATTTAACAAACAAATTAATGTAAATATTATTTATTATTTCTAAATAATAATAATTGATTAAAATAATTACTATATTTTTTTTATAAATAAATAAATATTTTATTTAATTTTTTATAGTYAATAAATTAAGYTAWAATAATTATTTATTTATTTAGTATTTTTGCATAGACTAATTAAAAAATTTTTTTTTATTTCAAATAATTTTAATTATAATTAATGATTAATTTAAGTTTAACCAATTAATTTAAGTACATAGATATAGTCTATTAAAAATATTTTATTAAATTAGAGAGATTAAAAATAACTATAATTTATTTGATTAATTATTTTTGAATAAATAAAAACTACTTAACAGATTTTAGTTATATTATATATAAATTATTTTTTTAATTGAAAATATATTTAAAATTATTTTRWTATTAATTAGTTTACCTCATCATCAATGGTTAGTCCGGGTGAATGATGTCGGCTCCGGTAGTATTGGTTGCCTGCAGACAGTCCTGTTGAAAGWCATCATCAGTTTCATCATCTAGTGGTGGACGAGCCCAACAAACTGTGTAATAATAATAATAATAAYAATAATWATAAYAAAAAATTATAACAAAAATAATAAATAAAAATTATAACAAAATTATAACAAAAATTATAATTAAAATTAATTAATGTCAACAATTAATTTTAAAAAATATAARTATAATGTAATTATAAAAATAGAAATTTAAATAAATAAATATATWATTATTATTTAAAAAAAAATAMTAATAATGATAATTAATTARATWGTTTGTGTGTTTTATAATTTTWTTAAACAAWAAATAAATTAACTAATTAAATGTTTTAAATTTTGGGAAAAAATACATAATTTTTAAGCAGGCTAAGTTTAAYTAAAATATTATTAATAAACATAAATATATAAATTATTWTATAAAAAAAGTGAWTTTAAAAWATACYTGAATTAATAATAAGAATCATAACAATAATAGATTTAATAAACATTTTTATAAAAAAATTTAATAATAAAWTATCAAAAAAAWWAATAAAAAAATAAAAAAAATGTATTAAACTTATATTGTTAATTTATCTCTTTATATATATGCACTTAGTAGCTAGCTMAATTATTTTAAAAATTGCTAAACTTAATTAATTGRTAAATATAAAATAATAATAATAATAATAATTCTAGAATGTTATATGGATAATTAATAAAATAAATAATTAATTAATTAAATATACAATTATAACTATCAAAATAACAATTTACAGGTGTACAGGTAATWTATATATTGATATATATATATATATACAGTATATGCAATATAATGTCAATAAAATAATWAATTATTATTATTATTATTATTAATAAATATTTCTGTAAATGTTTTAATTATTAGTTGTATTAATTGCTATTAATTTTTATTGTAATTATTATTATTATTATTATTGACAATAAATTAATAAGTTATTTATTTAATTATTAAAGTTATTTGTGTGTTGAAATCAAATYATAATTACTGTTTAATGTTAAGTTTATTATTTTTTTGTGTTATTTGTTAAATCAATAAGGTGATTTTGCAAAAAAAAATAAAATAATTTTTTTTCACTTATTTGATAACTAATTTATTTATTTATTTTTTAGTTTCAAATAAAAACAAATATTTATCAATTATTATTTCAAYAYTACACTATCTATTATCATATTACAGGTTAATAATGATAATTATATTTTTTTTAATTAGATAAACATATTTTTTTATAAAAAAATAATAAAATAATAACATTTGTGTTTGTATTTWAAACAATATCAAAATTTTTTATTAATTATTGTAAAATATTAGTATTATTATTGCAAAACATTTTTTTTTGTTTTGTTAATAACAATTAATTAAAAAAAATATTATATATATATATATTAGATTTTATTTTATAAACTGTAAAGTCTAAAAAACAATAAATTTAGTTTAAAAATCCTTAATAATATTTTAATTTTATTAAAAATAATAGTTTATTTTTAATTATAATAATAATAATATTTATTATTTAGTTATACATTAATATTTAAAATTTTTTAAAAAATTATTATTTTATTGTTATTCAGATTATAATAATTCAAAACAAAATTAAAATTTTTATTATTTTTGACAATTATATTTAAATAAATTTAATAAAATAAAACAAAAAATATCTACTATTTTTTAAACACAAAAAAGTATTATTTTTTTAAAATTATAATAATATTTATTATTTAGTTATACATTAATATTTTAATTGATAAAAATTAAAAAATATTATATAAAAAATTTAATAAAATTAAATTTATATATAAAAAATATAATAAAATTAAATTTATATATAAAAAAAATATCTACTATTTATAACACACACAAAATTATTATAACTTTATATTTAAAAATTAGTTAATTAAAATTAATTGATTAATTAATTTATTATTTTAGCTAGCTTAAATTGGTAAAACATTATCCTTGAACAATTTATTACCCAAACCGACAACATTACCGGCCGGATAGTAG